AAATTATATAATTATATAATTAATATTATTTATGTATTAATATTAATGAAATTAAGTTTATCCATGCACATAATAAAAACAAGATACACATAACATTTAGAATATGCACGTTAAAACATAAATTGTGAATAGGATTCTAGCTGATTCTAACTTCTCCCGAAATCTGACGGGAATTATAGATCGTTTAAAAAGTAGATTTATCTCGTGATCCAATATATGAAACAGTAAGATGATTCATGTCGTTGCACGAACGTGTCGATATCACGCCACGACTGTGTATAAACGTCAAAGTCGGTATTGCGGAATCATGATGGAGTAGGACGGAGAGGAAGGGGAGAAAGATTCTTGTTTTCTCTTATTCTTTATTACCTGTTAACGCTGATTACGCCGAGCGATAATAGGGCACCTAGGAGCTCGCGAATCTTTGGAACTGTTCTACCTCGACTGGCAACGCACACACGATCGAGATACGCTTCTATAAATAACAATGGGAGGGCTGCGCATATCGTCTGCTAACCTGGCGCCGAGGGGTGCGCGTGCGTGCGTCAATGACGTCTCATCGAGTGCCAACCTGACCACTCGCGGGTTGGTGGTTAATCGTTACTGAAGAGGATTGGATAAAGCGGAAGATGCGCGTGTCATATGTCGAGTCTGGCGTCTAATAATTACGTTTATATTTCCTTCATAAAAATATATGTTTACGTTAAAATAAAATGTAATTTTAATGTAAATGTAATTAATAAGAATGTGTTACATTGGTTGCATTCTGTAAATATATTATAGTATACGGAGCATAAACTTCATGCTAAGAACGTGACTTTGTTGAACTACATTTTATGGAAATAATAATTTTGCTGAAATGTTTGCCAAATGCGGATATGAAAATAATTTTTTTTACCATCAAAATAATTATGTAGAAAATTTAAACATGATGAGCAATATTACAAAAATGTTTTGACATTTTTGACAACAATCAGCTGTCCTATATAATTAGTTTGATAGTTATGAATAAAATTATTTTCAGATTTGTAGAAAACTTTTAGCTATATATTGTTAAATTTCGGCAAAACCGTTCTTTTTCTTTCGTTCTATCTAATCCTTTTTATATTCGTTCTATCTAATCCTCTTTAATCGTTACCGGGATATCGAAGAATGATTTCGATCAATCTTCGTCACTTACGATTAATTTATCAAGCGATACCGTGTTATCATGAAGAGAATTATTGATTTTTTTGTTTTGACATATAGGATAGCAATACTTAAATTAATCGGAATTCCGCTAAAAATCGACCTAATAAATCTATTTCTATTAAGATATAATTCTGATTTAGTTTTTATTCTTTTTTTTCTGAGGATCAGAAAAAGATGATAAGTAAATTAAATTGAAATTAAAATTAAATTATATTAGTAGAAAATGTATGTTGCCCCTCGGAAAAGACACGATTTTGCTTGAAACGATACATTTATTTTTTTTCCTCGCCATTTAAATAAAATATTACTTGGAAAAACACGATCAGAATAAATCCAGAATAAATCCTCTTATTTTCATCTTCGAAATCTCATACATCTAATCGTATTTTGATATATTGCGTAAAAGAAAATATAATGGAATAACGGCAATGTTAAATAGAATGTTTATTTTGGAATAGTAGAAAATTTTTTTCGATTGATGGGATTATACTTTTAGATTTAGAGAAACAGTCTTACTTCAACTAAGTAAACTTCTAAAAATAAACATTCTACTGAATGTAGCCAATATACGGAAAATTTCGATTCTATTTGCAAATTTCTCGATTTTTTGTAAAGAAAATACAAGTGTTTTTCCGGAAATTTAAAAGTGAATGTAATATCTCGCGCGCGGAACCCCGTTTCGATAATTCCCGCGCAATCGCGAGATGCGCGTGACGCGCGGCCAACTTCAGAGAACTAACCTCGTCTGCTTGGACCGATGATCGAACGGGTCGAAACGAACATCGATCTTATTAACAGGCGTTAGATTGACGCGCTTAATCTGCTTTACGATCGCGCTCATCATACCGCCGGAGCGTTTGATGGTCCCAGAGAAATGAATCGACATTTTGAAGTCTCGACGCGAGCACGATGCACGTAAACGCGACGCATATACCGCTCGCGGCGTCACTGCCCGGAACTTGTCGCGCCAATGCTGCCACTATTGCGGTCGAGACCTTCGGCTGCAGCAGGTTGGCAGCGGATCGATCTTGCACAACGCCCGCCATGATCAACGTACTAATGATTTTTTCTTTTCTTAAATTCTATTCTATCAATTATTATTTGTAAATAAAAAATCATGTTCTTTATTTACAAATAATAATGTAAAGGACTTTATTCATATGTAATAGCATTTTGTTATCAACATTGGTATTACATGAAATTTATGAAATATATTACAATGATTGAATAAAAAAAATTATAGTACTGATAATGCGATAAGAAATTGATAATTTATTCTGATATATACAACGTGTGATATGTAAATTACTTTTTTTTATTAATCATTTTTTATTAATCGTTTATATCTCAAATCAATGAAATCAGCATAAAGCTGCAAACTTTGTTTGCAATTATTAAAATTTATTAATTTTTATGGTTTTATTTTATTCTGTAGCATTACATTCAATAAAATTTTTTTTATTGTTAAAGTGATCAAACTAATTTTTTTCAAGCAGTATCTGTATTATTTTATTAATTATAAATTAATTATAATTTTATATCTAATTATAAAATTTGTTAATCTATATTGAAAGAAACGCATGAGAGAATGCATTAATCAATACTACTTAATCAATACTATCAATAGTACTTTAGTCATAATTCTTTCATGTCTTTTCATGTATGCTAGATTACAAGATTACGACAGCGGTATTTTGTTAATAGTAAAGATGAGGAATGATAAAGAGAACAGTGATGCGTCGATTGAATCTTCCGGATTGGTGCTCATCGCTATTTTTATCCATTATTCTAGTTAATCGAACAGGCATGCTGAAAAAAAATGATATTATAGCATCATCAACATCAGCAAGTATTTGATTTTTTTTTTCTAGAAAGAGATAACGCATGTGAAAAAACTTTCACGTGCATTACTAACGGAAGTTCTCTGATAAACGGACAGAAATTTTCGAGACTGATCGGAATAATTTAAATGATTCGCGAGTACCGCGCACAGCAACGTGCGAGCGAGGCGCCGCGGATTGTCGACCGCGACCGTCATTCGCTGTGCGCTGATTGGTCCCACTGCGGCCAATAGGCGCCGCGCTAGCGGACGCCATTGCGGAGGGACAGTCTCGTTTGGTGGTGTCGTTCGCAGTGTGTGTTGTGGGGAAGTGTGTGGTGTGGCCAGTGGGGTCTTGTGTTGAATTTTTTTACTTATTTATTAGTGATTATCTGGTCTTTTACACTCAACGGCAGCGAGAATGTACCCCGCAGGACAACGTGAGTGCCATTACGCTGTCGTATCCCCGTTAGGATCCACGGAAATCCCCGTAAACACGCTTGAACCATCCCTGCGGATGTTCCTCGACGAGCGAGCTCCGCGGGCTCGTTCGCGATGCACGCGATGCACGCACGCACACTCGCCAGACTTGCCCACAATCTCCAGAATGTACGCCTTGCTCCTTCTTCATTATTCCTCCGTCCCGAAGAACGTCGTAAAGGAAATGTTGCGACGCCCGTGCGTGAAGACGTGCCGAATGACCTCGGATGAACCTCGTTCAACAGGCACGCGTGTCGTCATTCATCTGCGACACGACGGCCTCCACGCGTTAGCTAATTCTGGTCTCTAGCGTCTCTTTCTAGATTATGGTCTTATCTACCGTGCAAACAAAGAATTCAGCGTTTTTTAGGTGTTAAAGCGAACGGCAGTAGGGAAGACCTACTGACCTTTTGTGCTCTGTTGAAAAATTGACAATTCGATGACGCTGTTCCCTTGCTTGCATCTGCATCCGAAATCCACGTGGAAAATTTGTCCTGAGTCGTGCGAGCCAGCTGTGTCACATGCTTCCGACATGAGTCACATTATTAGAAGACTGTTTCGAGTTAGGAGCATTATTGGAAACAGTTTGTTAAACGTCGAAGCATTAAGAGAATGAAGTATGGTATATATACTTCAAAAATTATAAAAATTATGATCAAGACTGTGACAGTATTACGTTTTGATAACAATGCACAATTGTTATAATTCTTTGATGACTTATATTGATTTATTTGATTTTTTTCAATCAAAAATAAACATGTTTGTTTCTGCCAATATAAATTAACTTTAATTTTGATTGAACTTATTCTTTATCTTTTTACAATCTTAAGCCAGCATTTATAATTTGTTCTTATTTTAAAATGTCTTAAGTAATATCTTAGAACATAAGGTTATATTAACATCTTAAAACATTACTTAAATAAGAATTGACTATGAATACTAGCATTAAACATTAAGAAAAAGATAAAAAGTTAGTTGAATCAAGATTAAAATTAAACTACATTAATAGAAATGAACATTCAAAATTACTGTTTTTTTATGATCTGTCTTTATAAGCACATTATTAAGATATTATTTTATTTGCTATATAATAAATAGTATATAATCATAATATAAGTCATCAAAGTCATCAGTTGAATGAAATTTTCCTGTTAAATGACTTATAGAATAAAAAATTTCTAGACTTGAGGATTTACTCTCTGATAGCCAATCAGTACATCTGAAAAATTATCATACAATAAATGCAATATTAACTTAAGAATAACTATTTCATTTAATGAGCTCTATAATATATTGGGGTGTGCCTTCCTTATATCAAAATATAAAAACTGTGGCTATAGAAGAAAGAAAAGCAAACAAATATTTATCTTTCTAGTTTTGACTACTTATGATAGTAAAATATTAATCAATCAGTGAATCTTCGACAAAAAAAGATAGAGAATTTCTGGAGATTCATTCATCCTTCAATATAATTGACATATTGAAAAACGTTATGCTACAAATGAAAGTATAATACTTTTAATTTATTCTTTATAGTATCTCAGTTTCTACAATAAGAGTTATTGAACGATTTTTTATTGATTACATATATCCATCATATATAATAGCCAAGACAAATGCAAATTTTAAAATAGCATTTAAAAATAAAAAACTAGTATTAAAGTGTTATACATGTACATTAATATTATAATCAAAGACAATACCATTTTCTTTTGATGCAACTAACATCAATATTTAGCTCTATTTCGTATATTTTTGACAGAGTCAAATGAAGGTGCTTTTGATGCAACTAACATCAATATTTAGCTCTATTTCGTATATTTTTGACAGAGTCAATATGAAGGTGCTTATTATCTTTTATTATTATCAAAGGCATGAAGTTCGAGAAAAAGTGTTTTTTCTCATTCACACTAACCGCCTTGCTATCTCTGAACGCGTGAAATTTTAATCCCGTTATTTTTAAACTTATTTTAAAACATAGCTTTGACTTAGATTTTCGTATTAAACTTTTCGTTTTAAAATGTTCAAAAGAATCTGTCTTTATATATAAAATATTTAGTCTTCAGTTTTGGGACACACACACACACACACACACACACACACACACACACACACACATACACACACACACATATATATATATGTATATATATAATATTGTTGAAAGTATCTTGTTAATTATCTTGTTAAATATATCAGAGATGTTTTGCTGCATTTTGTTATAATCACTGACGTAAAAAAAGAAATGGAAGATACTGTAATCTATTAACTGACTTAAAATTTCTTCTTAAGCGTTAATACTCACAACTCATTGAATAATTGCTTAATACAATACTTTATAAACAATAAACAAAATTGCAGATAAAAATTGATTGCTATATATTCTGGTAATAATTAAAGACACATAATGTAGGAACATAAATAGAAATAAAAATGAAAAGTGCAATATGCAATATTTTTTTCAATTCAATAAATAAAATATATAAAACTGATACTTATTTTTTTAATTGATACTTATGTCATTTTCTCAGCCCCCCCACCTGGACCCTCAACTAGTGGCGGTTCTGTTGGGACAGCAGGAGTAGCGGCGAGTAGTGTCGCGGCTCCTAGCAATATGGGGCTTGTTCCCGCACAGCAGGCACACACTCCTCCTCAACCTACAGAACTGCCAAGTATGTATATCTAATTCTAATTCTGATATTATAAATAAAAAATTGATGAAAAGTTAGTTTTCTGCAATTAAATAATATTCTTTTACAGTGTTTACGTGCCCTCGAAGACCAAACATAGGACGAGAAGGTAGACCGATCGGTTTGAGAGCTAATCATTTTCAAATTAGTATGCCACGTGGCTATGTACATCACTATGACATTAGCATACAACCTGATAAATGTCCTCGGAAAGTTAATAGGGAAATTGTAGAAACGATGGTTCATGCATATACTAAAATATTTCAATCTCGTAAACCTGTATTTGATGGCAGAAATAACTTGTACACAAGGGACCCTTTGCCTATCGGGCATGATAAAGTAGAATTAGAGGTAAATTACTATCTTTTAAAGTCTAAAGTTATTATCTTTTAAAAATCCAAACGTTCTATGATTTATAATTGCATTTATAATTGTTTTTGTAGGTCACACTGCCTGGTGAAGGAAAAGACAGAGTTTTCCGAGTAGTCATAAAGTGGTTGGCACAGGTTTCGCTATTTGCTTTAGAAGAGGCTTTAGAAGGACGAACTAGACAAATTCCATATGATGCTGTTCTTGCTTTAGATGTTGTAATGAGGCATTTACCATCTATGACATACACTCCAGTAGGTAGATCGTTCTTTAGTACGCCAGAAGGATATTACCATCCATTAGGTGGAGGCAGGGAAGTATGGTTTGGATTCCATCAATCGGTGAGACCATCGCAATGGAAAATGATGTTAAATATTGACGGTAAGCGAAAGAAAGATTACTGATTTATTAGGTTATTATGACTTTATTGAACTACTTTCATTTGTATTCTAGTCTCTGCCACTGCCTTTTACAAAGCGCAGCCAGTTATAGAATTTATGTGCGAAGTGTTGGATATTCGAGATATCAATGAACAGAGAAAACCGCTCACGGATTCTCAGAGAG